TCAGTGTACTACCGACTTGCATTTGGTTACATAATTATTTGTACAAACTAATCTAAGCACTAATTTATAATTCGTACGACTTGACTAAATTAATCTACTTATTCTAATTACTATAAAACTATAACAAATAATAATAAATAACAGATAAGAATATATATAATATATAGATGATAATACATATAAAGAATAATGAAATAAAAATAAAAATAAGAGAAAGAAATAAGCTAACAATAGTTATTCGGAATCACAATAGCTACGCAAAGGTACGTTTTATTTTTTATTTTTTATTTTATTTTTTATTTTTATAAATAAATATTTACCTTCTATTCTTTCTCAGGTTCGTGGGATTTTATACCTTCTCAGAATCATGATGAATGTGCAAAGATATATTTTATTTTTTATTCTTTATTTTCTATTCTTTATAAATAAATACTTACCTCTTCTTTCCTAGGTTCATGATAGCATGCCTTCTTGGAATTGAGTTTGTGGAGTTTTATAACTGCAATACCTTCTTGAAATTGTGACAGATGCGTGAAGGTATGTTTTATTTTTAATTCTTTATTTTTTTATTCTTTATAAATAAATACTTACTTTCTCTTCTTTCTCAGATTTGTAACAGCATGTTTTCTTGAATTTTTTATAGTATACTTACTTTCTCTTCTCTCCTCTTCTCTCCTAGGTTCGTAATGGATGTACAAAAGGTTTTAATAATAATAATACTTACCTTCTTTCCTCAAAATCAGGTTTGTAGGTTTGTGGATTCGTGGGTATTCTAATAGACAATTTATAAGGTAGGTTCTTTTTGTTTTTTGTTTTTTTATAATATACTTACCTTATCTTCTCTCCTCTCCTCTTCTAGGTTTGTGGCGGACATACGAAAGGTAGTATAATTCTTTAATAATAATAATATTTACTTTCTCTTCTCAGAATTGGGTTTGTAGGTTCATGGGTTCGTAAGTGTTTTAATAGACAAAGGTTCTTTTTGTTTTTTGTTTTTTTATAATATACTTATCTTTTCTCCTTTCCTAGGTTCATAGTAGATATATGTAAAGATAGAATAATTCTTTAATAATAATAATACTTACTTTCTTTCCTTAGAATCGGGTTTGTAGGTTGTGGATTCTAACAGATGATTTATAAAGTAAATTCACTTTTTTATTTTTATTTTTTATAGTATACTTATCTTCTTTTCTTAGAATAAAAAGAATAAAATATTTTTTATTATTTTATACTTTATCTATTAATTCGTATAATTTTGTACTTCCTACTAATTTGTAATTTCACCTATTAATTTATAATTTATAGATATTAATTGATAATCAATCTTTTTTTTTTTAATTATTTCTTCTAAAATGAGTAACATTGATGAAGTAAAGGTAATAATTAGTGACCATGAATATGATCACTTTGAACTTGATACTGTCAATAATGATATTGGTTTTTCACCAATGTCTATTAGTAGAGAAAATTTCAACTTATCTATAAATACTACAAATAATAATAGCACAAATAATAATAGTACAAATATAAATAATAATAAAAATAATAAAAAAAATAATAATAAAAGAAAATTAAGATGACCTTATGCAAAAAACAATTGGGTATGGTATCATTTCAAAACTTCAGAAAATGGTATGTTTAATATATGTAATATTATAATAGAAAAGATAACTGATAATAATATAATTTGTAGAAGTCACTTTGTAAATGATGGTTTAACTGGCAATATGGAAAATTATTTTTGTTATAAACATGATTTATTTAAAGCTCTCAATGGTTCAGTTTGGTTCGGTTTAGCAGTGAAACCGAGAACAAGCTGAAACTGAACCGGTTATTTTCGGTTTAAATATGATCACCACTGGCAATACCCATATATTTTTTTATATTTTAATATTCTTATCATTATATTTTATTTATTACAATTCAGTTAAGATTATATTGATTTTATATTGAATATTTTATTTATTAATGAAAAATAGATACAAAATTAATTAAAACTAATTTTAAAATTATATAAAATAAATTTTTGAAAAATTATATCATAAGTTAAAAAAAATCTAAATAGATGTTGAAACTGTGATGATCAAAACTAATGAATATCTTGTTGCAAATTCAAATATTTATGTAGGATTTCGTTTATAAATTTTTGTATATTGTTTTTTAAATAATAATAATTGCTTTCATTATTTTTATCATTTATTTATTACAATTTAGATAAATAAATTTATTGAGTTTTAGTAAATGATATTGTAGTTTGTTTTTTTCAAAAATATCCCTTTTTTGCTTTTTATTGTACACAAATATAAATTATATTTTTTTATAAATACTTATAAAAATAATAAATATTTTTATATTTAAAACTCTGATAATTTTTATTTGGTTCTAAAGTGAAAATCGTAGCATTC